CAGTTTTATCTCATGCTTTTTCAGTCACAGTCCAGCTGGTCTTGGTGAGCTCTCAATAAATCAGCTCCACTGTCTCAGTGGGTGGGTGCATCCCTCGTGGTCCCGACTTCTTTGCTCATGTTCTCCCTCCTTCTGCTCCTCATTGGGACCTTGGGAGCTCAATCCAGTGCTCCTGTGTGGGTCTCTGTCTCTATCTCCATCCATCACCAGATGAAGGTTCTATGATGATATGCAAGGTATTCGTCAGTATTGCTCTAGGATAGGGTCATTTCAGGTTCTCTATCCTCAACTGCCCAAGGAACTAACTGGGGACCTCAGCTTGGGCACCTGGGAGCCCCTCTAGGGTCAGGTCTCTTGCCAACCCTAAAGTGGCTCCCTTAACTAAGAATTGTGGTTCCGTGCTCCCCTGTCCAAACTTCCTTTATCCCAATCCTCCTGTTTTCCCAAGGCCCGACCTCCTTCCCTTCTAACTTTTCTCTCCCCATCTCCCCTTACCCCCATCCCACCCCACCCCCAAGATCCCAATTTTCTCCCCGGCAATTTTGTCTACTTCCCTTAGCCAAGAGGATAACTATATGTTTTTCCTTGGGTTCCCCTTCTTACTTAGCTTCTTTAGATTCACCTATTGAAGACTCCGTGACCCTTATTTATGGCTAGAAACCAATTATGAGGGAGTACATCCCATGTTCATCTTTTTGGGTCTGGGATACCTCACTCATAACCCCAGAAGCACAGACATTAAGGGCACCATTGAATAAATGGGACCTACTAAAACTGAGAAGCTTCTGCAAAGCAAAGGACACTGTCACTAAGACACAAAGGCAACCTACTGACTGGGAGAAGATCTTCACCAACCCCGCAACAGACAAAGGTCTGATCTCCAAAATATATAGAGAACTCAGGAAACTAGACTTTAAAATGCTAATTAACCCAATTAAAAAATGGGGCACTGATCTGAACAGAGAATTCTCAACAGAAGAAGTTCAAATGGCCAAAAGACACTTAAGGTCATGCTCAACTTCCTTAGCAATCAGGGAAATGTAAATCAAAACAACTCTGAGATATCATCTTACACCTGTCAGAATGGCTAAAGTCAAAAACACCAACGATAACCTTTGCTGGAGAGGCTGTGGAGGAAGGGATACCCTCATCCATTGCTGGTGGGAATGCAATCATGTGCAACCACTGTGGAAGTCAGTGTTTCAGTTTCTCAGGAAATTCGGGATCAACCTACCCCTGGACCCAGCAATACCACTCTTGGGAATATACCCAAGATGCCCTATCGTATGACAAAAGCATTTGTACAACTATGTTCATAGCAGTATTATTTGTAATAGCCAGAACCTGGAAACAACCTAGATGCCCTTCAATGGAAGAATGGATGAAGAAAGTATGGAATATCTACACATTAGAGTACTACGCTGCGGTAAAAAACAATGATTTCTTGACAGGCTCATTAGGGCTATGTAACTATGCTTCAGATTTTTAACTGTTGATTTTTGTAGCCTGTTTCTTTTTTTTTCCATTTTTTTATTGAGAAAAGGAGAAAAAAAACAAGTTTCCACCTCCTCCCAGCCTCCCATTTCCCTCCCCCTCCTCCCACCCTTCTCCCTCTCCTCCCACCCTTCTCCCCCTCCCCCCTCTCCTCTCCCCCTTCCTCTCCAGTCCAAAGAGCAGTCCGGGTTCCCTGCCCTGTGGTAAGTCCTAGGTCCTCCCCTCTACGTGCATTTCTAGGAAGGTGAACATCCAAACTGGCTAGGCTCCCACAAAGCCAGCACATTACCTAGGTTCAAAACCCCATGCCATTGTCCTTGGCTTCTCATCAGCCCTCATTGATCGCCATGCTCAGAGAGTCCAGTTTTATCCCATGCTTTTTCAGTCCCAATCCAGCTGGCCTTGGTGAGCTCCCAATAGATCAGCTCCACTGTCTCAGTGGGTGGGTGCATCCCTCGTGGTCCCGACTTCTTTGCTCATGTTCTCCCTCCTTCTGCTCCTCATTGGGACCTTGGGAACTCAGTCCAGTGCTCCAGTGTGGGTCTCTGTCTCTATCTCCATCCATCACCAGATGAAGGTTCTATGATGATATGCAAGATATTCGTCAGTATTGCTATAGGATAGGGTCATTTCAGGTTCCCTATCCTCAGCTGCCCAAGGAACTAACTGGGGACCTTGGCTTGGGCATCTGGGAGCCACTCTAGGTTCAAGTCTCTTGCCAACTCTAAGTTGGCTCCCTTAACTAAGAATTGTGCTTCCGTGCTCCCCTATCCAACCTTCCTTTATCCCAATCCTCCTTTTTCCCTAAGTTCCCCCTATTCTCCCCTTCTCCCTTTTCTCTCCCCATCTCCCCTTACCCCCATCCCACCCCACCCCCATGATCTCAATTTTTTCCCTGGCCATGTTGTCTACTTCCCAAAGCCAAGAGGACAACTATATGTTTTTCCTTTGGTTCACCTTCTTACTTAGCTTCTTTGGGATCACCAATTGTAGACTCCGTGACCCTTGTTTATGGCTAGAAACCAATTATGAGTGAGTACATCCCATATTCATCTTTTTATGTCTGGGTTCCCTCACTCAGGATAGTGTTTTCTATTTCCATCCATTTGCATGCAAAATTCGAGAAGTCATTGTTTTTTACCGCAGCGTAGTACTCTAATGTGTAGATATTCCACACTAATGGATTAAAGACCTTACTATCAGTCATAACACATTGAACCTGATAGAAGAGAAAGTGGGAAGTACCCTACAGCAGATGGGCACAGGAGATCGCTTCCTATGTGTAACCCCAACAGCACAGACATTAAGGGCAACATTGAATAAATGGGACCTACTAAAACTGAGAAGCTTCTGTAAAGAAAAGGACACTGTCACCAAGACAAAAAGGCAACCTACTGACTGGGAGAAGATCTTCACCAACCCTGCAACAGACAAAGATCTGATCTCCAAAATATATAGAGAACTCAGGAAACTAGACTTTAAAATGCTAATTAACCCAATTAAAAAATGGGACACTGAACTAAACAGAGAATTCTCAGCTGAGGAAGTTCAAATGGCCAAAAGACACTTAAGGTCATGGTCAACCTCCTTAGCGATCAGGGAAATGCAAATCATAACAACTTTGGGATATCATCTTACACCTGTCAGAATGGCTAAAATAAAAAACTCCAATGATAGGCTTTGCTGGAGAGGCTGTGGAGGAACGGGTACCCTCATCCATTGCTGGTGGGAATGCAATCTTGTGCAACCACTTTGGAAATCAGTGTTTCGGTTTCTCAGGAAATTCGGGATCAACCTACCCCTGGACCCAGCAATACCACTCCTGGGAATATACCCAAGAGATGCCCGATCATATGACAAGAGCATTTGTTCAACTATGTTCATAGCAGTATTATTTGTAATAGCCAGAACCTGGAAACAACCTAGATGCCCTTTAATGGAAGAATGGATGAAGAAAGTGTAGCCTGTTTCTTAAGGCTCAAAGTGTTTACCAATTTTCAGAGTTTCTTGTGGATTCTTTTAGTTTCCTTAAACACAGCACTATGGCCTCTGAATATATACCTCTTTGACCTCTTTCTTTCCTACTTGATAGGCAGTTATTTATAGAGCTAGCCCCCATAAATTAAGAATGGAAACCTCTTCTCCTGGAGTCACTCAGTTCCTACAATTAGAGGTCTGGTATCTTTCCTATAGATGTGTTTGTTTGACTGTCAAACTCATTCTCTGCTTTTATATTTTTTTCCAAAATTTACTTTTCTTTTACTGTTTCTTTCATTTTTGAGATTATATGATTACAGCATTTCCTCATTCTCTATTATCACTCCGAACATTCCCATATACCCATCCTTGCTCTCTTTCCAATTTATAACTTCTCTTTAATTAATTGTTGTTATATGAATATAACTATTTGTATGTGCATATGTATTTAAACATACAACTTGCTCAGACTGTATAATATTACTTGTATGTATCTTAAGAAGGTTATTGTGTTTTGTTTAAATGTATTTTAATGAATGTAATTATATGTCTCTTGGTGATTTGGTTTCATTGTTTACACCACCTCTTCTTCCACCAGCTACAAACTGACACACAAAGAAAGAATCCTTAGGTTGTTCCCTTTTAATGAATTCAGGCACATTTTTAGGGAGAACAATACTGTTGGTAGCATCGATTATTTTGTTCATGCTAGACAAAATCTCCAGCACTGATATAATCCCAGGACTTCGAAAAAGTTATTCAAGGGACGTGATACTGATATAGCTGCAGTGCCATTTTGAAAGCCAATGTGACTTCTAATTAAAAAAAAAAACTGTATCTAAAAGTTGATGTTGGAAACCAAACTCATTGATATATGTTTAAGAATGAAGTCTAAAATACTACCATATGAGACATGAGACAAAGAGAAGCATGTCTGAAAATTATCAAATGGCCACTGATTTTTTACAGAAAATTAAAATCAACATGTATAAGAAATACACTAACAACAACTGATGATATGTTTATATAAGATGTATATCACCAACAACAACCAGATCATGCTTCATTAGCAAGTTCCAGGAAACTTATTCACTGAGATACAATATATTCTATAATAACAAAACAAGCAAAAACAAAGAAATTTACCTATGAAATCCTTAAAGAAAACAGATATCAAAAGCAGACAATTATTTTATGTGCATCATATAACAGGGTCAGGCCATATGCACATAATAAGTTAAATATGGATTAAGCTAGAGTCTTGGAAATATACCCAGACGCTCGTTTTGACACCCATGATTTGATCATGGGTTCAGGACACAGAACATAATTATTTCAGGCATGCAGCTTGGTAAATACAGTAAAATATGCACTTGTGATGTTTTTCTGAAGCACAGTAGAGAGATGGATAACACTGCAATACTTGTGGTTTTCCCCAAAGACACACAGGTATATAAAGGCCTCTGGCAGGTGGGGACACACAGACTTGAGAAGCCTACTGCTTATCTTCTCTGAACACTCCTGACAGCATGTGTTACTACTGCGGATACTATGGAGGCCTGGGCTATGGCTATGGTGGCCTAGGCTATGGCTATGGAGGCTGTGGTGGTTATGGTGGCTATGGTTATGGCTGCTACCGCCCACTGTGCTATAGAAGATACTGGTCTTATGGCTTCTACTGAAGAGTTTCTGATGCCCAGTCTTCCTGACTAGAAGAGCTTCCAAGTATTTTTACATTAGGGACACATACATATTTTCAAAACTTCTAACTTAGACCAAAATACCTGAAAAATCACTGAAACACAACCTGATCATCTAATTCCTCATCTTCAGTCAGACTGTGATTATCTGAGAAAATGTTTTATCTTTATCATGATCTGCAAATTGTTTTCAAATTTAACTCTCAATCTTTGTGTAAAAATGTTTGTATTCTTAAGCAACTAAAATATTAAACAGTGTAAAATAATTTGTATACTTTGTGCTTTTGTATCTGTTTGTCACATATGGGTGCAGTTGTGGAAAAGTCAGAGGGGAGTGAAGGAGAGGAACATGGAGTGGGAAAAGAAAAAAGAAGGAAAATAAGGTTGGAGGAGAGGACATCAGAGAGAGAATAACATATCCTTTCAGGGGTCTTGGATAGATATTTGGTTGTTTTTATAACTTGAATATTATAAACAATGGAATAATAAAGTTGGCAGTGCACTATTTCTTTAGGATCCAATAATTTAATCTAGTTATAATAACAGTAGTATAACTTCTAGATATTCTGTAACTTCCCTCTATATTTGCAAGCATGCTGGATGTTATTTTCTGTCATGGTTGTACCAAGTTATATTCCCATCAACAATGGAAAAGTTTTATCCATGTGCTCTGTAACATTCATTTTTTCTTTTATTTCTCTTTTATTTTATTGATTTTATTTTACTGATTGAGCTCTACATTTTTCTCTGCTCTCCTCCCAGCCTCTCCCCTCCCCTTCAACCCTCTTCCAAGGTCCCCATCCTCCCAATTTACTCAGGAGATCTTGTCTTTTTTTTAATTCCCATGTAGATTAGATCTATGTATGTCTCTCTTAGGGTCCTCATTGTAGTCTAGGTCTTTGGGATTGGGATTTGTGGGCTGGTTTTCTTTGCTTTATGTTTAAAAACCACTTATGAGTGAGTACATGTGATAATTGTCTTTGTGTCTGGGTTACCTCACTCAAAATGATGTTTTTCTGGCCCAATACATTTGCCTGCAAATTTCAAGATGTCGTTATTTTTTTCTCCTGCGTAGTAATCCATTGTGTAAATATACCCCATTTTCCTTATCCATTCTTTGAACAAGGGGCATTTAGGTTGTTCCCAGGTTCGGGCTATGACAAACAATGCTGCTATGAACATAGCTGAGCACATGTTCTTGTGGCACAATTGAGCATCCTTTGAATATATACCCAAAAGTGGTATTGCTGGGTCTTGAGGAAGGTTGTTTCCTAATTTTCTGAGAAATCACCACACTGACATCCAAAGGAGTTGTACCAGCTTGCATTCCCACCAGCAATACAGGAGTGTTCCCTTTACCCCACAACCTTGCCAACATAACATTCATCTTTTTACAGAAGGGTTACCTAACAGTTGTTGGGTGCAATCTCATCTTGATCTTGATTTACATTCTGCACTATTAGTAGAACATTACTGGGTCCACTTGTCCATCTATAGCTTTTCATTTGAAAAATATCTGTTCTAATTCTTGTCACATTTTGGCATCAGTTTATATTCTTTTGGCTGTTTAGCTTTAGCTATGCATACCCTCTATTAATTTTGTTTATTCATCCCTTGCCTGATATACTTGTTTTCTTCCTCTGAATGGAGTTTCTTTGATACAGTTAATGGTTCTGTTCTTCAGAACTTTCTTAGTTGGTCCATGAAAAGTTGTCTGTTTTCATTTTATTTTCTGATGTGTGTGACAACTCTGTGTGTTTCAGAGGTGTTCATGTGAATGTGTGTACACAGGTACATGTGTATGAGTGTGCTAACATAGAAAGGTATGAAGTTCAGATCTTTCTCAGTTGCTTTCCAATTTACATATTGAGGTAGAGTCATTAGAGCAGGAATCTAGCATTCTAGCTAGTCTGGCAATCTGACTTGCTTCAAATGATATGCAAGGTTAACAGGTGAACTGCTACACTCAGCTGGGCTTAAGAAGTCTATACTTGGTTTCACATTGATATTTCATACTCACTGACCATTTGATTTGGTTCTCATTCATCCCTCTATAACCTGCCTTCCCCTACCCCTCCTTTGCTTTTATGGTTCATGTATTGCAATAGTCTCTTGTTTTCCCATCCCTCTGATATGTTCTCGTCTCATGGAGCCCTTTCTGGTTGAATGATTTATTATGTCAGAGTGTGCAAAGAAATACACACATAAACACACACAAACAATTTAAATATAGATTCTGTACATGGCACAAGTTATGCAGCATTTGACTTTCTTTTTAAACTTTTAGTATAAAGACATTTTCTAATTTAAAAAATGCGTTAATTATAAAATCCATACAATGTTTTTTTAAGGATAGTCATCCCCTCAATTCTTACCCTTACTGTATTCATTTCCCAATTTTGAGATTATTATTTTTGTTTTACTTTTGCCCAGGATATCCAATTAGTCTTGTCTTAAAATTGAGGCCTGCTTTGGTTTGCAGCCAGCCCATCGAGACTACATCACTAATAAAAATTGATCTTTCAGAAGCTATCAAATCCTAATTACCCCTCAGTTACTGGGAGTCTAACTCCCTCCTCCTCCAAGAAGGAGAAGGTTCAGGGATGTACTGATCTAAGGGTGTGACAATGATTAGTAATCATCTTGATGGTATCTCCATTTAACAGAATAATCAGTAGTGGTTCTCTACTAGAACCTGTGAAACTGTGGCTTTTTGTTTTTATTATAATTTTATTCATTTTATTATTTCTGTATATGTGGGAATGGAGATATGCATATGGCATATCATGAACCTGGAAGTCAGAGGAAAATATGAAAATGGGTCCTCTCCTTCCACCTTATAGGACACTAACATAAAACACAGCATGTTTCAAGCATGGGTGTCATGTGCCTTTAGGTACTGATCCATCTCATCAGCCCAGCATTTGTCTTTCTCAGTCTGACTTATTTTGTTTAACATAATGAGCAGTTGAGCCCAAATTTTGTGAAGAAAACGATTTGAAGAAGACACCGGGATATGGAAGGACATTTCCTGTTCATGGCATGGAAAGAATTAATTGCATGACAGAGATTATGTTTGCTTAACAAATGTAGAAATGTCATGCAATCTTCATCAAAATTCCGAACATATTCTAACAGAATTAGACAATACAATCCTAAAGATCATATGAAAACACAAAATGAACCTAGCATCCAAAGGAATACAAAGCTGAAAGGAAGATGCTGGACCTACCACCAAACCTGATCTCATGTTAAACCACAGAGCCATAGTAATAAAAGCTAATTAACAGTAGCACAAGAGAAAACATACAAAATTTGAAAGAACATATATAAAAGAAATACATTAAGAATAAAACCAAAATGAAATTTTGTAGATATTAACTATCATTAAGTTACCAATAACCAGATCATTTTTGTTACGGAGACTAAGGGAATATATTCCTCGTGATAGAACTACTCTATAATTAAACAGTAGAGTTTTCTAAGCATTAAATAAACTAAGTACAGAATGAGGAAGAGTCTTGAAAACAGTAACAGAATCTCATGTTAAAGCCTTATGATTTGACCATGGGATCCCGACATATGAGCACAATTATCTCAGTTACGTTGATTTGTTTGTCCAATAATCCATGGCATGCTGATGTTTTCTGAGCACAGAGGAAGCATGAATGCCATTATAATGCCTGTGGTTTCCCCCAACAAACAGCCAGGTGTATAAAAGGCCATTGGCAGATGGTGACATCCATACTCAAGAAACCTTCAGCTGGTCCTAACCTAAGCAGTCTACTCCTGACACCATGTGTTACTATGGCAGCTACTATGGAGGCCTGGGTTATGGCTATGGTAGTCTAGGCTGTGGTTATGGCTGTGGCTATGGTGGCTATGCAGGCTGTGGTGGATATGGTGGATATGGTGGCTATGGTTATGGTTGCTGCCGCCCACTGTGCTGTAGAAGGTACTGGTCTTATGGCTTCTACTGAAGTTTCTACAGAGGCCCAGCTTTCCTTACTGAAAATGCTTCTGAGTATTTCAAAGACAGTCCAAAATATCTTCACAAAATTCTACCTTTTTACTAAAATATCTGAAAAATAATTGAAATACTACATGGTCATCTAATGTTTCATATTCACAGTTGGACTGTGATTATGTTTTATGTTATACTTATCACATTCTGTAAAATGTTTTCAAGATTGACTCTCAACTTTTGTGTTAAAATGTATGCACTATCAAATAACTAAATGATTAAACAATCCAACCAATTTCCATATGTCTTGTGCTTTTGTATCTGTCTGCTCACATGTGGGGTGGTTGTGGAAAAGTGGAAGGGGAGTGAAGGAGAGGAAATGGAGAGGGAGAAGAAAAATGGACGAAGATAATAATGAAGTACAGGGCACTGGAGAGAGACATATCCTTCCAGGAGTCATCTACAAATGGACACTTGATTGTTCTTATAACTTGATTATTGCAAGCAATGCAACAATAAACTTGGTAGTGCACCTATTTCTTTAAGATCCAATAATTTGATTTAATTATAATAGCAGTAGCATAACTTCTAGATCTTCTGTCGCTTTCCTATGTATTTGCAAGCATGCCACATTGTATTTACTCTCATGGCTGCACCAAGTTACATCCCCATCAAAGGGAGAAGGGTTCCCTTTAATCCACATGCTCTGTAACATCCATCTTCCATTTTGTAATATTGATTTTCAAGAGGCAGAGCTAGGAACTAGTCAACAGAAAGTAGCCATAGAGAATAAATGAGTCCAGAAAATGGATAGAGCAACACAAAGGAAGCAGCGAAGAGAGCCTTTTTGGTTTGGAACAGCAGAAGAGAAACTCTCTTTCTGAGATGCCAGCTAAGGAGGAAGGTCAACTGGTTACTCTTTGACCCCTCTTAGGTGGCAGGTCAGATATGACTCTCAAATCTATTTGTAAAGTTGTAAGATTAAAATTTAGTTTAAAAACATTTGGTGTTCCAATATGTGGCAGGACCACATGGACAGAGGTGATGCCAGTCCATCGTATTGCTTCTGCTGGTGCCACTACAGACAAACTGGAAAGTCAGCAGATTTGGTGAGACACCTGGGAAGTTCTTAAGGATTACACTAACTAGTACTAAAAATAAATTTTTCCCATGTTAAGGATGGGAAATATCGCAATGCAAGGCATTAGGATAAAATGGATAGTGCTGCTTTGGATGGCTTGAAAATGGCAGCAGTAAATGAGCGGGTAAATCAGATTGACATATGCTGATCTCAATTGCTGTGAGTCTGGTAATTCATATTTTATCCTTAAAAAGTTCCTTGACAACTGTGTAAAACTGGAAAAAGCTGACTGATAAGATACAAGCCTCAGAAATACTTATTAATTAAAATAAGAAAATACTCAGATACAGACAGAAGAATTTAGACAAGAATCTGCTGTGCCTCTGCATGAAGAAACTGAAGAGGGTCAGTCCAAGATTACTAGAACAACCTTAGTTTTTCCAGTTACTATACAAGAATGACTAGGAGATGATAGTAACCCACAAGGTTATGAAGAAGTGAAATAGAATCCTATAGAAAGATTAGATTTGAGAAGCTTGAAGGAAGTATTCATTTCATATGGTATTCATCTCCCCCCCCCATGAGAAGCAGGAAATTCAGGGACAACTCAGGATATAATTATCCCCCAAAATGGACATATTTAGTTACAGAAATATTGGAAGCTGGTTCTCAGTTTCAATGGTGAACATGGAGTAAGCCATGATGAGTGAGCCAGTAAACAGCACCCACCATTGCCTCCGAATCAGCTTCTGCTTCAGGTCCCTGTCTGAGTTTCTGTCTTGACTTCCTTTGGTGATGAACAATGATATATAAGTGTGACCTAAATAACCCTATCCTCATCACCTTGCTTTTCATCTTGGTGTCTCATCACAGCAATGGGACCCTAACTAAGACATCATCTCTCTTCCCACTCAACTTTGAGTTTACTATTTTTCTTCTGATTCCCCTCATGTTGTCCAGTTTGTATCACCCAGCTTTCCTGAAAAAGGAATCCCTCTCTAATGTGTGGTCAGCTTGCCAGAGGTCACATCATTAACAAAAACTGATCTCTGAGCAAGTATAAAATGCTAATACCACCTCCGTTACTAGTGGTCTACCTCCCTCCTTCTGCCATGCTGGAAATTTGTGTAATTGGAGCATGCCTGTGTCTTATGCATAATGTCACAATCACTGTGTGTTCAAATATCTGTCTGTCCTGTTGTCTGGAAAACAGTCCCTTGAAGTCATTCACCAGCTCTTAGGTTTCAATCTTCCTGTCTCCTCTCCTAAAAGATCTCTGAGGCTGCTTGAAGTGTGGTATGAATGTTCAATTTAAGATTTAAAACTCCATTTTTTTTGCTATCTGGAAATTTACCAGTTATGGGGAATATCTCTTTATTAAGTGCCATGTATTGCAAGAAACTTCATTGATGGGAACTGGGTAATATACTAGTCTATGGAGATAAAAATAAGTCTTTAGGAGTCATTTTAATAGTATGTTTATTTAACTGAATGATTAGCACTGGGTTCTCCCTCGGGACATGAAAATCTGTGGCTTTTTTATTAAAGTGTATTCATTTTCTTTTTTCACTTGTATTGGATGGAGGGCATACATATGCTGTATTTCACATCTGGAAATCAGAGAAAAATATGTGAGACTGGCTTTACTCCTTGGGACCTTCACGTCCAACTCAGGACTTCAAGCACAGTGTGTGTGCTGCTATCTACGGAGCCATCTAACCAGCCCAGCATTTGTCTTTCTCAGTTTGGCTCATTTTTCTTAACACAATTATCAGCAGCATCCATTTTCTGTGAAGGAAATAATTTGAAGAAGAAACTAGGTTATGAAATGACATCCCTATGGATTGGGAGAATTAACAACATGAAAATGGCTATGTTTGCTGAAACAATACACAGATTTCATTCACTCTCCATCAGAATACCAACTGCATTCTTACCAGAGATAGACAACACAATCCTAAAGGAAATATGAAGGCATAAGATGATCTAAAGAGCCCAAACAACAATAAACATAAAGGAAGATGCTGGACCTATCACAGAATCTAATTTCAAATTATACCACAAAGCCATAGTAATAATAACAAAATAGACATTTAAGAAAGAACTTGAAGAAGTTATCAGAAGATAGATAGATCTCCTATGCTTGTGAACAAGTGGGATTAGCAAAACAGAGTAAAAAAATATGCGACTGAATATATATGAGTAGAATACATTTAAAATAAAACCAAAATATGCTTATTTATATATTGTGTCACCAAGTTAACAATAATATAACAATAACCAGACCATTCTGCATGAGGGAACTTAGGAAATACATGCCTCTAGATATATTTATTTTATAATAACAAAGCAAAGCAAAGAAGACATAAAGACCTTTTATGTATTAGAGTACTGCAAAACAGACATAAAAAGAAGAGATAGCTATTTAAATTATTTGTATTCTGTCACAGTGGAGTTTCATAAGTATTAAATAAACTAAAAATAGAATGAGGCAGAGTCTTGAAAACAGAACCAGAATTTCATGTTAAAGTCTTATGATTTGACCATGGTAACCTAACAAATGAACACAATTATCTCAGCTATGCTGATTTGTTTGTCCAGTAAACCATGGCATGCTGATATTTTTGGAAGCATAGTGGAAATATTATAATACCTGTGGTTTTCCCCACCAAACACCCAGGTATATAAAAGGCCCTTAGGAGATGGTGACATTCAGACTCAAGAAACCTACAGCTGGTCCTAAGCTAAGCAGTCCTCTTTTGACAACATGTGTTACTATGGCAGCTACTGTGGAGGACTGGGATATGGCTATGGTGGTCTAGGCTGTGGTTATGGCTGTGGCTACGGTGGCTATGGTGGCTATGGTGGTTATGGTTATGGTTACTGCCACCCACTGTGCTGTAGAAGATACTGGTCTTATGGTTTCTACTGAAGAGTTTATGCATCTTCCTGAAAGTGTTTCCAAGTATTTTCATGCCAGCAACTCAAAAATATCTTCAAAAATTCTAACTTTACAAGAAAATATCTGAAACAAACCTGAAATGCAGTATGGTCATCTAATTCCTCATCTTCAGTTTGACTATGATGTTTTATGATATCATCACAATATTCTGTAAAATGTTTTCAAGATTGACTCTCAACTGTTGTATAAAAAGATTTATATTATCCAATAACTAAATGATTAAACAATACAATTCAATATCTTCAGGTTTCCTGCTTTTGTATCTATTTGGTCAGACAGACAGTGGGATGGAGAGGAGGCAGGAGATCCACTTACCTTGGCAGTGGAAGAGGGCATTTGGGTGTGGGCAGGGCTTGTCTCTTAAAGGGGCAGGGTACCCAGGTGACAGGCCAGGCCAGCAGATTACAACAACCAATAACCAGATCATTCTTCATTAGGAAGATGTGGAAATACATTCTTGCAGATAGAATTACTGTACAATAACAAAGAAAATAAAATACAAAGATCTTTTACCTATAGAGTATCACAAACCCAACAGAGATAAAAAGAGAATGCACTATTTCAGTGATTGGTGTAGAAGCACAGAAGAGATTCATAAGTATTAAATAAATTAGATACAGAATGAGGCAGAATCTTGACAACAGTACATGAATTTTATGTTAGAGTCCCATGATTTGACCATGGGATTCTAACCTATGAGCACAATTATCTGAAGTTATGCAGCTTTGTCTGTCCAGTAAACCAGGGCACGCTGATGTTTCTGGAAGCAGAGTGGAAACAAGGATGACATTCTAATACCTGTGGTTTTCCCCACCAGTCAGCAGTATAAATGGTCCTTGGAAGAAGATATCATCCAGACTGAGGGATCCTACTTCTTTCTCTGAGCAGTCCACTTCTGAGATCATGTGTTACTAAGGCAGCCACTGTGGAGTCCTGGGCTATGGCTACGCTGGCCTAGGCTAGGCTATGGTTA